TTTTCTAAACAAAATGAAAGTTTTTCTTTTTCCGATGATAATTAAATAAAAACCGCATAAAAGAATTAGAACAATTATTTTTTCCTTATCCTATTTGAGGTTAGAATTCGCAAAAAAAAAAAAAAGAAAAGGGTGGGTGAAAAAATGAAAACGTTTATATCATCGTCTCGAACAATTAGTATAACAATAAATTATTTAACACGTGATTCTTAGTCAAAAAAAAAAATCCCTAGGCTATTGTACAATATAACAATTAATACTTTTTCAAGATTTACTTAGGGTAATTTTATTTCGCAAATATTCTCCTTAAAAAAAAAAAAAAAACTTAAATAAATAAATAAATAAATAAATAAATAAATAAAAAAAAAAAAAAGAAAGTTCCTAGATCGGCAATTTTACGCTTTGACAAAAATCAAAAGGAAAATTTTAGGAAAAAGAAAGAAAAAAAAAAAAAAAAAAAAAAAAAAGAAAAGAAAAAAAAGAGAGAGAGAAAGCTAATCTAAAAAGTCTCGAAAAAGTGTAATTAATTTTCCGTATGTATAAAGGAATTTTTTTGTATCCAGGTCGTATTAATAATTCCGACATCATATTTATTGGACAACTCAATATATATTCGCATATATATAAACACATACATACATATATTTATACATATATACAAAGGCATGTATATTAGCATATATATAGACACATACATACATATATACATACATACATTTATATATACATATATATATAGGCACATACATACATTTATATACAATATATGTATATATACGTATATTTATGTACTATATATTTTATACAATATGTATATAGTATGTATGTACTATATACTTTATACAATATGTATATAGTATGTATGTACTATATACTATATACAATATGTATATAGTATGTATATATATAACGTGACGATAGAAGAGATGAAAAATATTCGATTTCGACTTTTCGGAAAACTTTTTCGTTCTGTAAAGTCCCTTATACAAAAGTTCCTTTCTTTTTACATTGAAAAACTGATGGAAACCGAAAGAGAAACGGGAGAAGACGAGAGAGAGAGAGAGAGAGAGGAGGAGAGGAGGAGAGAGAGAGAGAAAGAGAGAGAGAGATAATAAGAGATAGAGGGGAGGAAATGGAAGGGAAAAAGAATATATTGCCTTTTCTTTCGAACGAAATTTTAAACATTTGCACCGTATAAGATTTCAATTCATTCGTTCCAATTTTCTTCCTGTAAAAAAAAAAAATAAAAAAATAAAAAAAAAGAAAGAAAGAAAAAGTAAAAAAAAAGAACGAATCAAGAGAACTTTTGTTCGAACCGAACGGTATTCTTTCAAGTTTGTTCAAATTTATTTCTGGAAAGAAAAAAAAAGGAGAGGAGAAAAAAGAAAAGAAAGAAGAAAGAAGAATAAAGAAAAGGGAAATAAAAAAATCCTCGAACAAACGCGAATCGAATCTTTCCGGTTGAATCCAATGTCGAATCCATATTCTTTTATAAAAACATATATTCCCAGTTGATCGACAGTAAATATTAAATATTAAAAATATTTTGGAAAGTTTTAAATGAACGATAGAACACGTACTTACGTTTTAAAAGGATCTTATTGATTTGAAATGAATTATTGATCATTGGCGTAAACAAGTCAATCGATCGAGTTTCAATTAATGATTACGTCAATAATGGAAATGATCATTTCTTTTGGACTTTTCTCTTCTTTCTTTCTATTTTCTTTTTTTTTTTTTTTTTTTTTTTTTTTTTTTTTTTTTTTTTATCGGCTCGTATAAGATCTAACATCTACATCGAATCGATTTAAAATCGTTTATCAATCAATCCCTCGACAGCAATTTACAATATCGAATAGGTTCGTGAAAAATGAACGTAGGTTTCCGAAAACTAGGTCTCGGTGCGTAAAAAAAGGAACAAAAAAAAAAAAAAAAAAAAAAAAAGGAAAGAAAAGAAGAAGAAAAAAAAGAAGAAGTTTTGGAAAAGGCTACGTTCGTCAACAATTTACATTTCATCTCAGATACATTGTCTATGTACATTTATAAGCATACAGAACACGTCGAAAACAAAATTTTATTGTATATGTACCAATTCAATACAGTTTATATTATATATATATATATACATACATATAAATTTCTATTCGTACATTTATGCGAATAGAAAGTTAAAAATAAATTTTGTTATATAGGAATATCCAATTCGATCTATGTATACGTATGTACGTGCTTATATCTACTTAAAAAAAAAAAAAAAAAAAAAAAAAAAAAAAAAAAAATATATATATATAAATAATAAAATTCATATTCTATATGTTAATACCTATCAAAAGTCTATAAAAAATTTTATCTCTATTATATACCGACTATATTATCAATTATATATCCAATTCGATAATATAAATAATATAAATGTAACAATAATATATAACAGTATAAATATAATAATATATAGTTCATATAAATTATATATACATAATAATATATATATATATACATAATTATACGTTATTTATTTATATATATATATACTATATATTATACATAATTATGTATAATTACATATAATAAATAATATAATACATAATAATTATATATATACACACACACACACACATATATATATATATACCTATTCAATTAATTATACTTATACACGAGAATAAAAAAGAAAGAAAAGGAAAAAAGAAATGTATGCATGCGTATATAGAAATTATAAAAACGTTAAGATCTTTATATCGGTTCACATTGAAGTAGTTAATCCTAAGTTGTTTCACCCTTGTTGGTAACGAGAACGCGATAGTGGATTCGTGGAAAGACTATGGGCTATACTTCTGTTCTAACAACAGGTGCGGCCGTGACAACAAGAAAAAAAAATAAAAAAAGAAAAAAAAAGGAAAAAAAAAATGAAAAATAGGAGGAAAAAAGATGGAGAAAAAAAAAAGCAGCACGTAAATGGAACGAACAAACACAGAAGCTTTATATTCTTTACTAATACATACGTTGGTACCCATATAAGAATACGCGAGTTAGCGTTAATGGAATTTGCGATTTTATCGAACTAGCAATCATTTTTCTTTATTTTTCTTTATTTTTCTTTCCATCGGAAATAATAACAAGAACATTATTCTTCTATAAATTTTTCTTTAACAAACGAAACCTATAAGTTGAATTTAACAAATACATAACGATCTTACGACATTCGATTAATTCTATTATATAATTCTAAATTTTTCTTTTTATTAACTTGAACGAGAAAAAAAAAAAAAAAGAAAAAAAATTACCTAGAAATTTGCACAATGTTTCAATAATCGCAATTAATGTCAACGTGTTTTCATGAATTAATTTTTTTTTTTTTTTTTTTTTTCAAAATAGAAAAGAAGAAGGGGAACGAATTATCTTTCATATTTTTTCTAGAAATTTTCATAATTTCAAAAATGGTTCAATCTTTTTTTTTCTTTTTTTTTTTTTTTTTTTTACCAACGACAACTAGCGACTATAACTTCATTAATACTAACGAGTTTTCATGAATCAACATTTTTCAAAGTAGAAGAAGTATAAAAAAATTACTACTATTTCTACAAATTTTCATAATTTCGAAAATCATTCAATTTTCTTTTTTTTTTTTTGTCAACAACAACTTAAGCGCGCAACTTAATTAATACTAACGAGTTCTCATGAATTAAGTTTCTCGAGAGAGAGAGAGAGAGAGGAAAAAAAAAAAAAAGAATAACAATTAATTTCCCTACAAATTTTAATAAATCATAAAATCGTTCAATCTTTTTTTTTTTTATATATAAACGATAACAATCCTATAACTCGATTAATTCTACAATTTTTTTTATAAATCGACTTTATTAAAATTAAAATCGAAAAAAAAAAAAAAAAAAAAATAAGAAAGAAAGAAAAGTAAATAAAATGAATCATTCCACATAACCATAAATCAAAATCTTTTTAAAATATTCATAAATCAAAAATCCTTCATAATTTGACAATTAGAATTACGTTCGTGTAATCTTTTGGATCGATTCAACGCAATTTTTTCACGCAATCAAATTAATAAAAATCATGAAAGAAAAAAATTTTCCTTTCATGTTGAACAACAATTGTAATAATACAAATAAATCAATTATGACGACAACGTCAGCAGTTGAGGAAAGTGAAAAAGTATTGAGAAGCAAATAGGAAAAGAAATACCAAAAAAAAAAAAAAAAAAAAAAAAAAAAAAAGGATAAGAAAAAGGACAAAAAAGACGAAAAACAAAAAAAGGCGAAGAAAAGAAGCAAAAAACTGGACGAATTTTCGGTTACGACCACACTCGATTTTGATAAAAAAACGATTTGATATTAAAAAAAAAAAAATCTGTGCGAATTTTCGGTTACGACGACACTCGAAGAACAATTTGACCAAAAAGGAAAGGAAAAAGAAAAAAATTAATTGGACGAATTTTCGGTTATGACGACACTCGAAGAACGATTTGACCAAAAAGAAAAAAGAAAAAAAAAATGAACGAATTTTCGTTCACGACGATACTCGAAGAACGATTTGACAAAAAAAAAAAAAAAAAAAAAAAAATCGAAAAATAAAAAAATAAAATCCAGAAAAGAGAGAGAGAGAGAGAGAGAGAGAGAGGGACAGAGAGAGAAAAAGAAAACAAGAAAAAGAAAACTGAGCGAACTTTCGTTTACGATCACAATTACAACACCCGAAAAAACTTAATCATTAAACATCATCGAAATTGCAAAATCAATTAAATTCGTAGAAGAACGATAATACGAGTGATATTACATATATATATATCGTTCACTAAATGATTTAAAAAAAAAAAAATCATTAACTGGTATAAATCGTATATACGCATGTAATACAATTACCTAGATATGGAGAAAGAAAAGGAAAAAAGTAAAAGAAGAAAAAAGAAAACAAAAGAACAAGAAAACGAAGAGGTACAAAAAAAAGGGTAAAAAACAAAAAAAAAATAGAAAATAACGGGAACTTACCTCGTTCGACGAAAGGGGAATAAAAATCTCTTCACCAGAAAGTAATACGATTTTTCCTCTCCTTCTTCACGTAGGATAGAATACAAAAAAAAACCGCGATAAAGAGAGATAGATAAATAGATAAACGGATTATATATATATATATATATATATATATATATGTGTGTATATATATATATATATAAATATATAGAAATGGTAAACTGAACTGAATAACACCTCACATATCACACAACATTATTTTCGAACGCAACTATTATTTTTCATCTCTCTCCCTACAACAACAATAACACCGACGACGACGACAACAACAACAACAACAACAACAAAGACAATAACAACCTCTCTCCGTTCTCGAACGATCAGAGAGAAAGAGGGCGAAGAAGGGAGGGGGAGGGAGGGAGGTAGAGAAAGAGAGAAAGAGAGAGAGAGAGAGAGAGAGAGAGTAAAAAGAAAAAAAAAGAAAGAAAAAGATACAAGAAAAATAACCGAAAGAAGTACGAACGAAGTGAGAAAATGTAACAGAGGAGCGTTTGCAAAATTACAAAAAAAAAAAAAAAAAAAAAAAAAAAAAAAGAAAAGAAAATTAAAAGAAAAGAAAATTAAAGAAGAACAATCGCGATGATAATAATCAATTAATTAAATAATTGACTGATTGATTGATTGGATTGATTGATAGCAAAAAAAAAAATTTCCTCTCAAATGTTCAAATCGAAGAAGAAAGGTATCAGAGGAAAAATAAAGAGAAAAATAAAAAAAAAAAGAAAAATACGGACAGAGAATTCACAGGGAGATTTTCTTTTTTTCTTTTTTTTTTCGTTGTCGGTTTGTTCGCGCACGAATTTGGACTCGTCGTCTACAACGAACGACGACGAATCAACGAGAACGAACCAACGAACGAACGTACGAACGTACGAACGAACGAACGAACGAACGAACGTACGAACGTACGTACGTACGAGAAATAGAGAAAGAGAAATTAGAAGCAACGGAGCTTCTCACGTTTCTCGAGGACGGTCGAACAGGCGCAAAAAGCACGCAAGCACGCAAACACGACGTACGAGACGCACGACCTACGACGACGAACCCTTTACGCGCGTTTGAATTTACGACGAAACACGCGTACGATAAAGAGAGGGAATTATGACTGACTGACAGAGAGAGAAAGAGAGAGAGAGAGAGAGAGTAAGTGAGTAACTGAGTGTGTGTATGAGAGAGAGAGAGAGAGAGTGAAGATAGGCAACGACTTAAAAAAAAATCAGTAAGAAGACGCGTATCCTCTCCGGTCGAGGGTCAACACGATACTGCGAGATACGCGCCGAGCGCCGCTTTTGCCCGCTCTCTCGTTTGCCGAACATACCCCCACCATGACTATCCTAGCTTACATACACCCGCCCCACTACCACCGCCGCCTAACCGTTACAACACTCGACCGCCGCACGCCGACCAGTCTAGGGCGCATGTCATTGGTTGAAATGCCGGGCGACCGATCAACCGATTATTCGTAGATGATGTTTTTTTGTTTTTCCTTTTTTTTTCTTTTGTTTTGTTTGGTTTTGTTTTTTTTTTTTTTGTTTTTTTTTCTATTTGTTACATTTTACTGTTCTTTTTTCTCTTCCTTTTACGTTCTCCTTTTCTTTCGATCGTAGTTCTTAATCATTACCTCCCAATCATATTAATTCGATAATCTTATTTTCAATCGTTTTTAATTATCTATTCATTTCTTTTGAATGTTAGGTGGGTTAAAAACTATCTCAATTTCTTTTTTCCTAACATTTTATGCAGATCAATCGATTATTCGTTGATGATTTTTTGTTTCTTTTTTGTTTTTTTGTTTGTTTATCTTTTTTCGTTTATTTCTTTTTTCCTTTTCTCTCTTTCCTTCTTCCTACACTTTCTCTCGAATTTTTCTCTCTCGTATTTCTTTATTTCCTGTGTCAATTTTTATCTCTTTCTCTCTCTCTCTCTCTTTTTTTTTTTTTAAATCTAATTTCAAAGATCTCAATCACTTCCGGTTTATATAACATTCGTCATTTATTTTTCATTTATCTTTCGACCAGTCAGAACCGTTAAAAGCCGTTAACGAAATGATCAAATGGATTCCAACGTTCAACACCAATCACAGATCTCGTAATTGAGAATAACAGCCAACCAATCAGAAATCAGAATTTGAAGTCAGTCATATTAAACACGCGAATGTGCAAAGTTGAAAACCTTTCGAATCATATAACATTCAAATTCATACATATATATATATATATATATATATATATATATATATATATATATATATATTTTGGATCGGTGATCGATAATAATTACAAACGTTTCGAATAGACCGTCTTAGTTCCTTTTACTTCGGAATACAACAATTAACGAAGCCTTCGATTACTAACGTTCGTTACCGTGCCAAGCTTACCGACGAGATTGCGTCGTACATATGTACGTATGTACATACTATATATACACACACACACACACAGCATACATACACGATTCTTATGTATTTACATAGAATAGAAAATTTAAGTTTTGTACAATTATATTTTTATATTACATACTATACGAATATTTAATCATCCATACCGAGTACTACATACACAAACAAACATAACATATGTATGATTCCTATACGCACAAACACATAAACAATTCTTACTTCATCCTACGTATGTACGTACACATGCTACACGCACACACACACATACACATATGATTCCTATATATATGTACCACTTATGATTCCTATACAGGCACACGAGTTCATATATATTTTATATATACACACACAAAACGCACACATGATTCTCACGCACTATACACGATTGACGCATCACACACACACACACACACACACATATATGATTTCTAACATATGTATATATGTACTGCAACGTTTGCATATACCTGTACGAAGAAAATATAATTAACGGTGACTTTGTGAAAGAGAGGGAAAGAAATAGAGAGAGAGAGAGAGAGAGAGAGATAAAGAGAGAAATAGAAAAGAATACGAGACATACGAAAGAGCAAACTAATTGTTAATTATGCGAGTATCCTCAGTAGCGTACAGGTCGTTGTCACGTTGCAAAGAGAGTTACTTTTCGTGCGTTTGAGTTGAGCTGAGTTGAGTAATATAACCTTTACATACTTTCATATACGTGCTCTCTATAAGGATGCATCCTATTTTATGTGTATGTGTTGTGTACGTGTGTGTCTACTGGTGTGTGCACGTGTCAGGCCTTTGTGAAACGAAAACGAGACATCTTAAGAAAGACGACGTCGAAAACGAGAGGTGAGTGCCAAAGGAAATACTTTAATACTATAAACCGTCATCTTTACTTACCTTTCTTCCATTTTAGCATATAACTTTTCTTTCTTTTCTCTCTTCTTTTTTTTTTTCTTTTTTCCTCTTTCTTTTCCTTTTTTGTTCGTTCCTTTCTCGTTCGTTCGTTCGTTCGTTCGTTCGTTCGTTCGTTCGTTAGTTCATTTTCTCGTGAAATGATAAAGGAAATGATAAAGGTCGGAAATATTATCTGATTGCACGTCGTTTTCAAAATATAAGTTGATATCAGACGGTATCGCATTGTTATATATATATATATAATATATATTCTAACCTAAAATAATATATCGCATTGTCGATCTAATTCGAGTTATTGTTGGATATAACAATGTATTACGATGACATTTGAAAATGTAATAAAAGTTCATTAAAGTAATATTAAAGCGTAATAAATGTCCATCAAAGTTTAATATTTACATGTACGCGTTAAATTATTATTTATTTTGAAAAAATTCTTTTTAAAATTGCATCGATCAACAGTACGATATCATTCAAAAATAAGGATAGAACAATATTTTATTAACAATATTCTATTAACAATTATATAATTATATAATTTTATTAACAATATATATTATAATGGTTAACATTGTAATATTTCATTTTTTAATATGTATGTATATTCTAACCTATAAATAATATATTGTGGGTTAATAGGATACAAGCACGTTCGTTAAGTATTACGAATGTGATAATAATTTGAATAAAATTTGTAATCTACGTTGGATTGTAATTTATCTCGAAAAAAGTGTCATTTTTATTTTTTTCTTCAAATTACATCAATTAAATGAATTATATAGTAAAAATGGCGTAATTTATTACGATATTAAAAAAAAATAAAAATAATGAGATTTCGTTTGAAATATTTCCTGGCGTAATTTATTACGATATTAAAAAACATAAAATAGTGAGATTTTTGAAGTATTTCCTAATCAAAAGTAAATATTAATAAATATATATATATATTCAAAAAAAAAAAAAAAAAAAAAAAAAAAAAAAAAAAGCTGCGTTGCATATAAACGATGTAGATCGAATTAAAAAATACAAATAAATAAATAAATATAATGCATAAAAAATATCAGAAGAAAAAGATTTGTTGGAACGTCGTGAAGTGAAAAAAAAGGAAGAAAAGAAAAGGAAAAAAGAACTTGGCAAAGCGATATAAAACCTTTCGAAATGTTTCCTAAACTGAGATAAATTCAATATGCGTTGAAGAAAAAAAATTGAAAAGAGAAAAGGAAAAAAAGACAAAAAAAAAGTAAAAATAAAAAAGAAAATAGAAAGGAAAAGAAAAAGAAACTTCGAACTTAACGTTCGAAAGCAAAGCCCATGATATTTATGAGAAAAGTTTTGTTTAATATTACGTAAAACAATAATTGTTTTATTACTTTGAAAAACGTTATTAATAATATACATAAGTAGACAAACGATGTATTAAAAATAAATTTTTTTGTTTTTTCTTTTTTTTTTCTACGAAAGTCTGAGAGAGTAGGAAGGAAGGAAAGAGAAAAAAAAGAAGTAAGAAAACAACGAAAAGAAAGAAAGGAAAAAAGAAAGAAAGAAAGAAAGATGAAGAAAAAAAAAAAAAAGAAAAATGGCGCTAGCATACTCCACATTTTGTATGAGCAAAGCAAAAGATAAAAGGATTGCTTTTAACTTTTCTTGCTTGCTATCCACCCTCCTCCCTTCCGCCATCATTCCCACGTCCTTCCTCCCGTCAGTTCTCCTTTTTTTATTTTCTTTTAATCTTTTTTTTTTTTCTATTTTTTTTCTATTTTTTTTATTTTCTTATTTCTTTTTTTTTTTCATTATCTTTCCTCGAACGTTCTCAAAGAAAATTTAGATTACGAAGTTAGTGTTGTCCGGGAGATTGGCTGACTCGTCTTACATCTTTACTACTCTTTCTCGTGAAAGAAACAAAAAAGAAAAGAATAAATAAATAGATAAATAAGTAAATAAATAAATAAAAAGAGAGAAAGGGAAAGAAAGAAAGGGAAACAGAGAAAGAACAAAAGGAAAAAAGGTAAAAGAATAATAGAAAGAAACAGAAAAAGCAAAAAAAAAAAAAGAAAAAGAAAAAGAAGAGACGGAAGTCTCTAAACAGGCGACGATTCACGAGACCTTCGACCCGGTGGATTCACCGAACAACTGAATTAAAACTCTCCTTCGTTACTATCTCGAGTACTTTCTGTCTTTACTTTTCTTCTTTCTCTACGCCAATGGCCATCCATTTTATCTCTGCTAAAATTCTAAGGTTTTTTTTTCTTTCTTTGGAGTTATTTCTCCTTTTTTCTGTTTTTTTCTCCCTCCCTCTCTCTCTCTCTCCTCTCTCTCCTCTCTCTCTTCCTCTTCATCTTATATCCTTTTACATGCAAAAAAAAAACAGAAAATAAAAAAATAAATAAAAAAAAAAAAAAATAATAAAACGATATATTCAGATATATTTAGAATGATCTAACAATAATATACAATTTATATATAATTTATATACAAAATTTATATATATATATATATTTTTTTTTTTTTTATTAAATCGTGTATTGTATTAACAAAATTAAAAAAAAAAAAAAAGAAAAAAGAAAAAAGAGAAAAAGATGTACATGTACATAGACATTTTGTACGTGTACATTTTGATACAAAAAAATTTTTAAACTCGATCGCGAATATTTTACGTGATTTTCAATATAAACTTGAAATTTTTTGAGAAACGCGAAAAATTTGAACGACAAACTCTGTTACATCCATACATATATAGATACATACAATACATACAATACATATATATATATATATATATATATATATATATATATATATATAAGATTTCGAAATGATAGAAAATCTTCTGTTCGTGTTAAAAGATAGACGGAGGATAAAATAAATGCCATAATCCTTTGAAATCGGATTAAGCGTTGGTTCGCTCGAAACAAAGCTGCGTGAAAGGCACGG